CGGGGCAAAGCATCTCCCCGAACGACGTTAATCCCTGGGCCTCATTGACTTCTTCTTTCACTTCCTTCCCCTTATAGGTCACTATCACCCGTTCATAGCTCCATGGGATAGCCTTGGTGTTGATTACCAGCAGCTAGGTTACAGGCTTGATGATGACAGGGTCCGTACGGGCACCCTCTACAATTATGATAGGCTTATTCGCCAACCCTGGCACGATTACCTTTGACTTTTCTTGCTTTGCTACCGCATCACTTGTGGATCTCTTCTCAACTACCACAGAAGGTTCACCGTTTGTCATGCTCAACTTGTTCACTGATCCTTCAACCATTGGTTTTGTGACAATTGTTTCCTTGACTAGCTTGGCCTCACTAGACCGAATCATCATAACAGATTGTGATGGCTTCTTGGGCTCCCCCTCCTTGTGTATTATCTCAATCATGTTTGTTTCATCATGAGTTGGCAATGGGTTCTGATTGATGTTGGGTGCTTCCGGAGTTTGGATCACAATCTGGTTTGTGTCGATGAGCTCTTGGATGGCATCTTCAAGTGCCAACACTTTTCCGTATCATGTCCCGGAGTACCAGAACAATATGCACAACTGAGGGAGTAATCCAAATTCTTTGGAGGAGGGTTTGGCAATTTCGACTCAATTGGCCTCAGCACATCTAACTGCCTCAATCTCTGAATAAGCTAGTATAAGACTCCCCCAACGGGGTGAAAGTTTTCTTCCGCTGTAACCTCTCGTTCCTGAATACTGGCTTCGGCTGGAAACCTGGACCGGCAGGGTTTAGGTAGGCACGTGCAGGTGGGTAAGCATTTTGTGGAGTTGGGTAGGTATTTTGTGGGGCTTGGGCATGCATTGTGGGTAAGAAGGAGGTTGAGTGTATGATTAGGCATGGTGGACAGAATACTGAGGGTCTGGTGATGGAAAGTAGTGTTGAGGTGGGTTATATGGGGTTTGGGTGTAGGTTCGGTGAGGGGGTCGAGGCTGGGTGTAATGGTGTGGTGTGCCCCTCGGACCAAGCCATGATCCTGAGTCAATTGTTGCAACATCCTCTTTCTTCTTCTTTTCGATCACTCCTCCAGTACCATTCTGGATGGCTTGGGTGGTTGCTTTGATGGCCGAGTAGCTCATGATTTTGCTTGTTTTAAGCCCTTCTTCCACCATGCCGCCCATCTTCACTACCTCGTTGAAAGACTTGCCTATGGCCAATATCAGATGGCCAAAGTAAGTAGGCTCCAGAGCCTGCAGAAAGTACACCACCATTTCATTTTCCTCCATTGGAGGGTTGACTCTTGTCGGTTGTTCTCCAGCGAAAACCATATTCTCTGAAACTTTCTCCTGGCTCTTCTTTATCTTAGTTAGGGACAAACGATCTGGAACGATTTCTATGTTGTATTAGAAGTGTCGCGCCAATGCTTGGGCCAAATCATCCCAGGTATACCATCTGCTGTGATCCTGACGCGTGTACCATTCTAACGCCGCGCCACTCAGACTCTGGCTGAAGTATGCCATTAACAGCTCATCTCTACCACCAGCTCCTCTCATTTTGCTACAGAATCCCCTCAAGTGGGCCACTGGGTCTCCGTGCCCGTCGTATAGGTCGAATTTAGGCATCTTGAATCCCACAGGCAACTGAACATCAAGAAATAGACACAGATCTTTGTAGGCCACGCTCACCTGGCCCCCCAATCCCTACATGTTTCTGAACGATTTTTCCAGGCTTCTTACCTTCCTGAACATCTCCTCTTGTTCCGGGTTTTTAGGCGGTTTCTCAGTCTCAACAGGGAGGTCGAAACGAGGAGTGTTAGAGTGATGATCTTGGGCCTTGAAAGTAGGCTCTGGGGGATAGTACTGATTATCTTGGGTCTGGAATAATGGCTCACTGGAGGATCGATGGAGTGTAGTTGGTGGGGGTGCTACGAAAATAGGGGTGGTTGGTGGAGGGGGTATGGGATTGTTTTGGCTGGTGGTGTTTATGGGGTTTGGGAAGTGGTACCCTGATAGTGGTGGTAGTGGGTGAAGCCTGGTGCATGTTGTGGGGATGAATCAACAGTGGGAGGTTCTTGGGATTAAGCTAACGGTGGGATGAAAGCGGGGTTGGCAGGTTATGATGGTGGGGGATGCCCTTTCACCCATGTTTGGTACATTTCAGCCATCTGATGCTTCAACTTATGTAGCTCCTCTTTCAGGTTAAACTCAGACTCTTCCCCCTCTCTTGACGGATCAATAACACTTGCGTACAGTTCTTGGCCGGCCATGATCAACTTGTTTTTAGACCTGGTGTTGTACGGGTGGGTTGCCAGAATGCCGAACAAACTAACCACCTGCCTGTACTTGATGACAACAAGCAAACTTGTTAGCTATTAAGAGCTTAACAGGTAGGCAGCCACACGTTGGGGATGCAATGCACCTAAGCAGTTAACCATTTCTACTATGCATTTGAACGGCTGCGTGCTTCATCCCGGCTTTCACTAATTCTTCTCATTTTGCATTTTTCTTTCTCTCTTTCGTTTTCATTCCCGCCTTTCTTTGTTGGTTCTTTTCCTTCTTTTATTCTCGCATTTTCTTTCCTCTCTTGTTTTGCCATTATTTCCTTCCCCTCAATTTCTTTTATTTCCACTCTTTTTCTTTTTCATTTTATGGTTATGATCGAATCCTATGAGGATTGCCTACGTATCATGACGCCGCATGAATCAGACCAAGCGTAGTTCTGGGGATAAATGCAAAATAAAAGGACGCATTTTTTGTTTTTCTTCAAATAGACACATCCTGATTACAACGACTTTCCTACAGACCTAACCATTTTCAAAAACTAAAGCAAGACTCAAAATGGACTGATAGACTCTAAAAGAAATTGCGACACGGACTCGGAAAATAAAATCAAGAGTACATAAGTGCTTCCACTGCTATTCTAGTTGGCCTTGCTGCGGGCCTATGCGCCAGGTCTTCTTGAAGGCGAAACAAGTCATCCATGATCTGTCAGACAAAAATCATAACTGAAGCGAAGAACATGGACTGAGTCATGTCTTCACACTCGTTGCACTTCATCACAATGTAGTCTGCAATCCTCCTAACCCTTTCCCTGATAATACCCTTCTCTTGGAACAATCGTCCAATCTGCTAAGATCGGGCCCCCAAAACTTGTTCAGTAGTATGATTTTGCTCTTGAAGTTGTTGCAGGTCCTTTTCTAACTGCGACATCAGGGCATAGCAATGTTCCCTTTCTGTTTTGAGATCTCTTGCCTGCTTGGTCATTTCGTTTTCAAGGACATTGATCCTTTTCTTTAGACCCCCCATTCCTCTGTCGTACTTCTCTTTCAGTTGTCGGACGACACTCGCCCGTCCCTCCGCATTCTTAACTAACTTGGCTTGGGCTTTTGCTAACTCCTTTTCAGTCTTTTCCAGGTTCGCCTCGTAATCACCCACCTTTCTCCTAAGGCCGTTTATGAGCTTCTCATCTTGTCTACTTCTAACCGGATTTTCGGCGGCGATTTTCATTCTTTGAATTTGAGCTCGTAGGGCTTCATTTTCTTGGGCCAATTTCCTTCTTTCTCCTTTGGCTTCTTGCAGTTGTAGATCATTATTGAACTCAACGTTTCTCAATTTCTCTTCAAGAATGTGAATGGTAGCTTGGTACTTTTTCTCCTTCTCTCCCCAGGCCAACCTTTCCTTGACTTTGTCATCGAAAGCCTGCACATGCAGGTCTTTTTGCTGGTCTTTCGGGCTCTGGTTGGGGCTCTGGCTCATTGCTTGCACCTGACTTTCCTTCAAACCACGTTGCATAATTCGGATTCACTTCCCCTTTGGCAACATCTGGTACCTGGGTGCCATTTTTCAGATACCGACAACTGTTCCAATCCTGCTGGACTAAAGCCTCTGGCAATACGGCCTCTGGATAGAGTTCGATGACCTGGGTGGTTAGATCTTCATCGTCAGGTACCACCTGATATCTCCCTAGCTGCCTTAAGACCCTCTGTGGTGCGTACGGCTAGACACTCCGTAAACCCATCAACATCAAATAACCTTTCGTGGCTGTCATATATATGATTTCTGTCATCGGGAGCAAACCTATAGTCCATTCGACTTGACTTGCTTTTAGAGATTTCAAATGGGAGATCCAAGCCCCAAACCCTTCTGGAGCGTTGTAATCTTTCACCCTTTCCTCGTAGCTTTTGATGAAGTTATCTTTGCTTGAACCATAGCTCATGAACTTGGGGTGGTGGCGGAGATGCTCGATCAACAAGAACACTGCAACCCTCGAAGAATTAGGCCCCCGATCTACACAATGTCAATGCTCGGTAAATATCTGCCAGTACTAGAGGAGCAAGTGTGTGATCTTTCTTTGTAATAAGGGTTTGTGCAACTCTAGCCATGCGGGTATCTACCGTCCATTCGGCATTTGGAAAGACTATGATTGCCAGGAATGCCACTATGAAGGCGAACCTACGATGAATTTGCCAAAGGTTCTTGTCCTGTTTGTTGTTCAATCCTTTTTCATGTGTTTCGAACCCGACCAAATGCCCAAATCTGGAATACAAAAATTGAAAGGAACAGAACCCGTTGTCCACATGAGCCTTCTTCATTTGTTTGCTGGTATTAAGAAGATCAAAGAATTTTTGCACTGATGGGGCTCTCGTGAATATCAACTGTTGTTTTCTCAAGTCCCGGCCAAAATGGATGTACCCAGCTATTTCTTCCAGTGTAGGGGTGAGCTCAAAATCCGAGAAACGAAAGACATTATGCACAGGATCCCAAAAGGTTACCAAAGCTTTGATCAAATCTTCCTGTGGTTTGATTTCCAATATATCAATAAGAGCACCCAGCTGTTCTTTCACCCAGCCTTGACCATCTTCGTCCAAATCATACCACCACATGCGCAACTGCAACTGAGCCTGCTCTATGACTAGTAGTTTCGTGTCCTGGACAATGTTCATCTTGGTACCTATGAATAGTTAGCGTTAGGGTTGACTCTGACAGACTTTTGAAGAAATAATTTTCGACTCCCAAAGGACTGAAAGAAAATGACCCTTCTACACAAAAGTGGCTGCTTTCGTAAATGTTGCCCCTTCGCAATTTCAAATAAATTTTGAGACCGGCGAAGACACTTAGAAAAATGATCCCTTACTGACAAATTTGTTCGTTCTCTACAAAAATAGCCCTTCGACAATCGAAAAATATTCTAAGGCTATCTCGGTGAGAACGGCACCGAAACTGGGTCGGCTTATTCTTAACATAGATCCCTACCTACGACTTCACTTTATTTGGTTAATTTTGCAAAAAGAGGCCGAACCCTATGTAGGTTGCCTACGTATCCCGCGTCCGGTGGGAATTAGACCTGCGTAGTTCGGGCAGTCTTGACATAATTTTAAAAGAAAACACGAGCGACTTGTTTTGAAAAGACTCTTTTTGGTTTTTTTTTTTTTTTGCTTTTTCTTTTTCAAATCCCTCTCTTTTTTTAAAAAAAAATCAGCAGAGTTTCGGGATATTTTGAAATACCGAGGTTTTCAAAATCGGGTTTATTTCCTTCCTATGCCACTCTTGGTTTTTCCCCTGACTGTCTTTCCTAGCCGGTCAGCATGCAAGCCGAAATAAATAAATGTTTACATAGCACGTAAGATGCATCAGGATGGTCTATTATTTTGGGTATACCTGTCCTAGACAGACCCGACCCCTGTGTTGAGTCCCCTAAGTCAAATGCACGTGATGCAAACAAACGTTCCTACTAGGGATCCGACATGAGGTTATGTTCTTCTAAGTTTAAACCTGGGGTTGTGTTCTAGACTGGGTTTACCTGAGTGGACAACTCAAGCCGAGGTGGGGGCAACGTACCGGGAGCACTAAAGTCTGCCTGGCCTTGTTGCTGACCCATGCCTCATTCTAACAGGTATGACTTCTAACAGAAAGTGGGCCACGCGAACGTGTGCGCCGAATTTTAGAAGACTCGGAAGGGTGGCGTAAGAAAGCATTTTAATAACATTCAAACAATATTGAAATGGCACATAAACGGCAATTAGCACATTGGGTTAACAGAATACAATATATCAACAATAAATAAAGCCAAGCAAAATCATATCACAAGCTCGAATTCTTGAACCCTGAAACAGTAGTTCTGGGTTCTTTTCCCCAGCAGAGTCGCCAGAGTTGTCACACCTCCTTTTTCCTAACCCCGGAAAGGATATAAGGGAGTTTTTTCCAATTTAAGTGACAATCGAAACGGGATTATTTATATTAAAAATCAGATTCGCCACTTGGGATAATTTATGGTGTCCTAAGTCACCGGTCTAAAATCCCGAATCGAGGAAGTTTGACTTTTATTTATGGTCTGCGAACACAGAAGTCCGGGTAAGGAATTCTGTTAACCCGGAAGAAGGTGTTAGGCATTCCCAGGTTCCGTGGTTCTAGCACGGTCGCTTTGATCATACTTGGCTTAATCAAATTGTCTAATTACTCATTTTAGAACTTATGTGCATTTGCCTTTTTTTAATTAAGAAGTTATCTAGAAACAGGTCACGCGCACGTGTACCCATTTGTTTGGCGCGTCAAAAATCATGTCAGGCGAACGTGTCCACAATTAGTAACGCTCTATTATTGTTATTAAAAAGGCTTAGTCGAAGTTGCGCGAACGCATACTTCGATTTTGTTTTTAAAATCGTAACTATGTCACGCGAACGTGTACACCATCACGATAGTATATTGAACGTGCCTAAAGCAAACTACGAATATTTCAAGGCATTTTTCACATTAATTAAGATATCGATGTGAGGGCCATAGACTAGGTGATCGTATGGCACACCTCAATTTTTACTAAGTCAACCATGGTGATCCTGAAATTGCTTCAGCCTCTGCTAGAAAAGCTTGTGCACTGCAGAAGATTTCCGTCCCATATAAAGAAACAACTGAAGAAATCATAGATGATAGGACCACAAAATGCATGTCTGCATGTGGAAGTTTGCATAAGGAGATTCAAATGGACAAGGAAAAACTAGTTCCAAGTAGCTACATTTGCAACAAAATTAGAGCCTTTAAGGAGACATCCATTGTAGACAAAGAATCTCACAATCAGATACAAAGTGCTGCCAAAGAATTTGAAGGAACAGACAGAAACAGAGGGATTCTCCACAAAAAACAATAGCCAGCAAATGGGAGAGAAATTTTCGGGTTCCCTCTCTCCGGGGAACAGAGCAATAATCCCCACTCCTCTCTATATCTCTGCGGCTTTGCCCTAACGCCTAAACCCTTCAACTTTCAAACACGAGAATGAAAACTGGAACGTGACTTTCTAGATTGATACAACCTAGTGACCCATAGTGATATCTAAATCCAATCAAAAGAACATGAAGGCAATATGAAATCCAACTAAGCAACTAGTAAAACCAAAAATCCTACAAATACACATCTGAACAGGTTAGGGACCAGAATCAATAACAACAAAGCCAAAATATGAACCAAAGCCATCAGAAGGAACTGTTTAGGCATTCTAGGACTCAATTCGTGTCAAACTCCTAGGTTCGTTCTTAATTGAATTCAAAACTCCAGGACATAGGGACAGCCTGAATTGGCGAGTCAGGGCAATTTAAATGGCACTCAAGAACATAAAGAATATTAAGCAAGATAGCCGGATCATGGCAATTTCAACAGAACCTAGCACGACTTTGTACCTAAATTGCAATGCGTATCAAAACGGACAAATGCACATAACTCGACTAGCAAATACAAAATGATTTCAAAGAAAACAAAAATCACACTACTACACAAGCTTCAAGTTAATCCTGTTCAAGAATCAGTGACAGAATTGGCATGCTGGAAACATGAACACTCCCTTATCCTCTCAAACATGGTAAGCCCCAAAGAGCAAATATTATCGAGGATAACTTCAGCAACTCCAAACCAGCAAAAATATGCGAAAGTGGTCATGAAATCAAGGGAAAGAGAAAACTCTTTAGTAATTCATGTCGAACACATTGAGGCCAAAACAGTAGGTTCGAGCAGATCACCCTGAACATCAGAACGTGTCGTATACAGCAGAAGAAACACAAGAAAATTCATTTTGTGAAGTGGCTATTCCTTAACAACATAACCAGGAGGTCTTTGACCAACAAACTCTGAAAACCAACTGATCAAATAAAGATGGTAATTCTAGTTTTAAAAAAAAATTCTAATAAACGAGGAAGATTTCACAAGAACAGGTCATTTAGAGTCCAGAAAACAGACATCATGGGAATAAACGTCATAGTTTCATGCTCGATTAACATTCACAAAGTTGAACACATCGTTCGTTTGAAAAGCGGTGAAATATTGACTTGAAAATGTACTACGACCCATAATAACAGTTATAGCACACAGAATATAGAAGACAACCACTCAAATCCGCTTTTATTGATTGACCATACTCAGCACATCAAGTCAGCGAGAAAGGATTCATCAGCAAAATAACATACCAAATATCATTTTCGAGTACGAATCGAGACTAAATGATAAACCCAAGCTCGACTCATTCATGAAATTTGATCACAGAACAAAAAAAACATTCTAGAAACAGAGTCCCATAGCTCAAGAACACCTTAAAACAGAGGTACATAGGAGAAGAGATCAAACCTGAAATTGCAAACTTCCTTTAATAATTATAGAATTAGCAAATACACCTTTTGACTCCAAAATTCTAGCGAGGTTCAGCAGCAAATCAGCAGGGCAACAGTAGAAAACGAAGTCGACGAACTTGAACCTCACGAACAATCAATAGACCTCAGTTAATTTCCATGTGTTCGGAACCTAAAGTCAGATTG